GAATAGTTTTTTAAAACGGAACTTCCCAGGCTAAATGCTTCAAAGTCAGTTGCCAATTTAATACTTAATGAGTAAAAAATTACTTTAGAAAAACTTGGAAGAATACTTGATCGTCGGATTCATGTCAAATCGGCAGAATTAAATTTTTGACAAAGAATTGTGTGGGTAAGATGATTCCGATAAACTTTATTCATTTATATTCGAAGTGCTCAACATTAGTTTGGTGCGGCGGTGCGGCTGCGTCAGAGGTTTTTCCCAGTGGTCCCCAGATTCCGCCAATCAAGCAAGCTCCACCGGGTGGCTTCGAAAGTGCGACGAGGCTCTCTGCTCAATGTACTTTATCTACCTAGCCTTCGCCCAGTCCTTTCGTTGCCTTGCATGTTACTTTGCCCGCAAACTCTCGCTTCTAGCTTCCTGACTGCAAGTCAAACCGTCGCAATTGTGATCTCGTGATCCGGACATTGAGGACAGCTCAGGAGCACGGTCATTTCGAAGCATGTCGAGCCTCGTCACCTCAGTATTCCGTCCAAAGACGTTCGTTGCCGCTCGATCAGTATCTAACACTCACGAACAGAGTTTGAGTAGATGCGTCGAGGCTTGGAGAGGGTCACTTTATGTAACACCTCATACATAATTAGGTGTCTTGATTTACTCACGTGATTAAGAAGTCTCCTTAGTAGACTCCGTAAAGTTGGTTTCACGAGGTCAGCGAGAAACTATCCCAAAATGTAACTAGCCATGAAAGCTTCCTGTGGACCGAAAACAGATGGCAGATGAGGTGGTGGACATTGGCAGATCTCAATGATACGTATACGCATTCGTTTACAGGATAACTCTGACTCAAACCCTCACCGTCAAGATTTATCCCAAAAGAAAAATTGGTGAACGAAAAATACTGCTGCCCTAGGATACCTATAAAGTTCAGATTACGTAGTAATTAGTCAAAATCAAGTCCTGTGCGTGAGAAAGACGTAAATTAAAATTTTTACGACTGCCATTAATGAAATTAGGGCAAACACCTTCAGTGTTGATTTACTTCTGCTTTGCGAACTTTTCGTCTGTCTTATGTAGCTCTTCCTCTCCAATGATTCTTCCTCTTTCAAAGTGATGCGAACTGTGCGAAACGAATCATGGTGAGGTCATTGTCTATATACGGTAGCATATGAGGAGTAGTAGCTCCTGAAACATCAGTTTTAATGAGCGTGAGTTGACTGTAGGGGTCAAGGTGAAACAAAATACATCTGGCACTGCAGGTGCTCAAATTCCATGAGCCTAAACGGGATTTAATCCCCCTGCTTAGATGACTCTGAGCAAGAGAGCGGTGCAGAATGCTGTGGAAGCCGGTCTTAGAAGCGTTATGTGCCAGGTTACATTGGTTGCTTCATGCCGGAAAGATGACTTCGTGCCATATCATATTTCAGTGCCTAACGACCTTCGCCAGTTGCAATCACAGTATCGAATACAGAACAAGAACAAGTACGGTTTTCATCAAGCTCGGTACGGTATGCCACCAGCCTTCGGAATCTCAGTATCTTTCGCGACAAAAAATGACAGGGCGTTTATCGTCAAACACTCTTGAATGAGTTAATACGGACGGTACAATATTTTTTTTATTGAGGTGCAGTCTAATGCTTTTTTAAGTGATTGCCTAATTACGATCAGCTGTAAGTTTTGTAAAGTTTACGAACATCGCCCCGTACAACAGCTCCGCCCAGCGTAGTAGCCCTCGGGTATGACAACGTCAGACGATGGAAGCTGCTACAACAACGTTATTCACAGTAGTCCCATTATCATCCCTTTGTCCAGGTGATGCTGGTCCTTCTCGGCCAGATGTCAATCGACATTGCCATCCTAACAACAGCTGTGATGAATCAGGTCGTTGCTACAGTCAGACACCGCGATGATGAACAGTTCGCATGTGGAAAAAGAAAAACTGCTTAGAGTGAGCGAAGAGTGACGCATCAAGAGGTTCAGGAGATACTCCTCCGTTTGATAAGACAGATGTGTGCTTAGAAGCCATCCAAGCTTAGTCACCATCGTAGGAGCATATTATTTAAAGTATTTTCAATAAAGTTATGAAAAAGAAATCTGCCATTCGTTAATTAATTAATCAGTCATGGTATTAGTCCGTTTTAAAGCATACACTGACATGGACTGAAGCAGTGGTTGTGGCTCATCCGTCACGTGGTACATCGCGCTCGTTCCCGAGAGAGAATCACCGGAACGGTAGACGACGACCCAGTTTACTATGGTGTCGCCCTCGAACGACATGATTCGAGGTCGTCGTCGTTGCAAGTCGGACACACACCTCGCGTGAACGCTTTCGGCGAGTTGTTTCTCAGCGTTTAACGGCGACAGCTTTTTTCTGACTAACACCGTTTTCCAGTCATGATCCTCCGTAATGAGGTAACGCGCTGCGGGAAAAAATTTTCGAACCCTCCTTTCCGCAGCGACTACAAGTCTTAAGGAGGACTTCGTTCGGCCTCCAACGTGGAACAATGAAACTTTTCATAGGAAAGTCAAAAACAAGCCGAAGATTAACGGTGCTTTCGTAACTTCATGCTGACCCCGTTTCAACGACTACGAATAAGCTTTATTTCTAGGCACAGTACAAATAAAAGTCTATTAACAAACCAGCGTTTCAAACAACAACGATATTGTCCAACAGGTGGGGAACAAAAACAGTCCAATAATGGGTGAGAACAGAAATACGGCACCAAATTAAATTACACCTTTAGAAACTAAGTTTTGGCTCATCTTTAGCCTACTACTGTTGAATAGAAAACTCTCCTTTCGAGTACTGAAGTATCTCATAAAATTCTTAAATTCTTACAGGCTTGCTGTTCCTAAATGTACCTCTATGACCCTGTCGCCAAAAGCCGGCAGCGACCAATGGTCTTGGCTGCATGAGAGTAAGAAGTACTTATTGTTACCTAGTCGTGAGGCCTTGTAATAAAGCTTGAAAGTCCGGCCAAACGAAGTAATGACCGCCTGTCTGACTGGCAGAGCTCCTCACCCCTTGTACACTGTTCTTTCTAGAAGAAGGGCGAAACAAGTCAGTTACAAAATTTAACAGAACCATGGACCTGCCATTCATGTTAACCCCAACAAAGCATGAGTACATTCTATCATTAAGGTGTCTATGCTCTGAAGGAAAAACGACGATTCATGGATGAGATGAACGGAAGATTTTGACAATGCTTAACAGACTATGCAAAAAAAATGAAAAATGATATTCCTGGTGTCTATGAACATTGCAGGGGAAAACGTTTTACATCAATTTCGTCAATTTACTGAACGAGTGTAATGTCGGCTACGTGTCAAACGCTATTTAACGCTAACGGTGATATTTTACAAATATGGTTTCAAAGAATGCACTTTCCGTGGCGCTAACCACAGATTCACAATGCCTTCACATCGTGCAGACCAGACAACGACTGGAGTAGAGAATCACACTGAGTCTCTCTAGCCTTTATGGTCTCTGTGAAGACCTGGCATAAACTTTAAACCTGATCCGCGGCTGATGCATTTCTCCAGTTGTTTCATGGAAGAAATGTACTTCGTTTGCAATATGAAATGAAAGAATGGAGAAATATAATTCTTATTTAATTCCCAAGGAAGAAAAGGAACGTCTCTATCCTCTCGTGTGTCCGTTTCCAATATACTTGATTGATTGAACATCAATTGCAGATTATGTTTCCATTGAGGTTATGGTCGCACGCTAATCTCCGCGTCCGTGTCACGCCAGGAGTGTGTTGCTGTGTTATTTTTTAAGACATATTACAATTGGGTGACTACTGTTGCATGTGGTCCTCAGTTTCTTTTTTTCTTATGAAGTTTTATCGTTCATTTACGTCGGAAGAGTGAAGGGCGAATAAACCGACCAGAGTTTGAAGCCATCATCTTTCAAATACAAGTTTGTATGAGCAACCTTGGTCATCCCGAAGAGTGCGAAACGAATGGACTGAGCGTTTTACTAATTGCGTCCACGGAGCAGAATAATTCGTGTACCGTTTGCTAGTAGGTTGCAAAAAATAACGTTATTAAGCACTATATATACCTGTGTAATCTGGAAAATCGAAATGAGGAAGTTGCTTAACTCTTGCCCCGGAAAGTCAATGCCATCCCCTCATCCCCTGAAAAGGAATAAGCTGTTTGCGCACAACGGCCATTGTTTACAAACGAAATCTTGAACTGCAGGCAGGTGATTGTTCATGATTGCCATTTTTTGCAAGCGACAGTAGTGGTATCCGTTTCAACGGGCAGGTATTAGCAAAAACTTTTACCGTACCATGTTAGTCGTAGATCCTCTAGCTCTATTTCTCATACACATCAATCCTACTGAGAAAGTACTGAGTTGAACTGAAGGATTGCATGTAAGCATGCCGTA